CATATATATGTGTGTGTGTGTATAATGTGTGTTGTTGCTGTTGTGTGCCGTCAAGTTGATTCCGACTCATAGAGACCCCAAGTAACATAGTAGAAGTGCCCCCATGGGGTTTTCTAGGCTGTAATTTTTACAGGAGCAGATAGCAAGGTCTTTCTTTCGCAGAGCCACTACCTTTCAGTTAGCCGCCGAGTGCTTAACCGTTGTGTCATCAGGGCTTCTTGTGTACATATATAGTGTTTATATATGGCACGCTTGTCCATACACGTAGTGTCTGCATATATATACAACATGTGTATTTGTAATATGTGCATATATAGTGTACATACATATATATAGTGTATGTACATATATACATATATAGTATATATATACATGTATATGTAAATAGTATGTGTACCTATATGTATACAGTTTGAGTGTGTGTATATAGTGTGTGTGTATATATACAGTGCACATATAGTGTGTATATATAATGTGTATACATAGTGTAACTATGCTCAGACACATGGTGTGTGTGCATATATGTGTGTATATACTGTCTGTGTGTATGTGTATTACAGTGCAAGGCAATAGGAGATTTACAGGGTACATAAGGAGATAATAAGAGGCATTCATTACACAAAATATAGATTTTTTTTTTAATAAGAAGAAGTGTCTTGCAGCTTGCATCCCTGCCGTGGAGAAAGAGGAGCCATTGAAGGGAGAAGAAACAGCTGGAGAATTAGAAAGAAAAACAGTTTGGAGACCCCTCACCAAAGTCAAGCAAGAACCACATTCTAAGAAGAGGTTGGTGAGCAAAAACAAATACATTAAAAAAAAAAAATTGCCCAGGAGATGGGAAACCAAGAAGAAAAAAAAAAAATCACTGGGTTTGATAATTAGGAAGATAGTGGTGAACCAGGAAAGAAAAGGTTCAGAAGAGGCAGGGGGTGGGATGACTCAGAAGCGAGGAAGTAGAATCAGACATACACAGACATCTGTCTCTTTCCAAAACTTTGGCCTTGAAAAGATGACAAGAGAGAAGCAGCTTGTGATACAAGCAGGATAAAAAATTCGACTTTACTTGGTTCTCTGTTAAGACCAACGAACTCAAATGTATTTGTGGACAAAAGTTTACAGCCTGAACTGCAGCGTTAATGCTCGGGTCAAGTCCCATCAATCACAGCAAACAAGAGTATGAGCAAGACCTCCAAGGAGCATTTTACATATACCAAAACCCATTACTGTCTAGTGTATTCTAACTCATAGCGACCCTATGGGACAGAGTAGAACTGCCCCAGTGGGTTTCCAAGGAGCAGCTGGTAGATTCAATCTTCTGACCTTTTGGTTAGCAGCCAAGCTCTTAACCACTTTGCCACCAGAGCTCCATTAGTAACTCATAAATTCCTCACAAAATCAGTTCTAGGAGTATCCATAGTTTACAAATGAGGAAGCTGTGGCACAGAGAGGTTAAGAAACTTACCCAAAGTTACTCAGCTTTTAAGTCCCAGAGTCAAGACTCTCACTCAGGCAGTCTGCCTCCGACATTTATGCTCTTAATGGATGTACAATGACGGATGCAGAAAATGGAATCTGTAACCTGCTTCCCGCTTGCCCAGGTCCTGCCTAGACTGGCCTAAGGCCAGCTTCCCTGGCTTTCTTCAATGCCCAGGCAGAAGTCTTGAATCCAGGGACATATGTGCCAAAGTAATGTGCCAGAAGGTTGCTGTGTCGGGGTGGGGGGCATTTGCTGATGGGAAACAGCAAGGAGAGGCCATTTGTTGGTGTTGCAGGATTTGCATCTCTCTGAAAGTTGTGAAGATTATCACAAACATTATCATAAGAGAGGTTTAGTGGAGAATATGAATTGTAAGTTTGAGAACTGGTTCCAACATCAGTTTTTTACAACCTAAAACAAATCACTTAACCTATGCAGGTATGAATTCTCCACCTATAACATGGAGATGATAATAATAATAGTAACTGTCATGGATTGAATTATGTCCCCCCCAAAAAAAATGTGTGTATCAGTTTGGCTGGGCCATGATTCCCAGTACTGTGTGATTGTACTCCATTTTGTGATTGTAATTTTATGTTAAAGAAGGTTAGGGTGGGATTGTAACACCCTTACTAAGGTCTCATCCCTGATCCAATGTAAAGGGAGTTTCCCTGGAGTGTGGCCTGGACCACCTTTTATCTTACAAGGAGATAAAAGGAAAGGGAAGCAAGCAGAGAACTGGGGACCTCATACCACCAAGAAAGCCATGCTGGGAGCAGAGTGTGTCCTTTGGACCTGGGGTCCCTGCAAGGAGAAGCTCGTAGTCTGGGGGAGATGGATGAGAAGGCCGACAGAGAAAGAAAGCCTTCCCCTGGAGCTGATGCCCTGACTTTGGACTTTTAGCCCATTTTCTGTGAAGAAATAACTTCCTCTTTGTTAAAGCCATCCACTTGTGGTATTTCTGTTACAGCAGCACTAGATGACTAAGACACTGTCCTACATCCCTAAGGGTGTTGTTGTAAGGAGCAAGTGAAATAACGTGTGAAAGTGCAGGCAAATGTGAACTATTTCCCTATTGTTACTATTACTGTTGTTGTTATTATTGTTATTAGCATTATTAGGCTTCCAACCTATGTGAAAAAATGCCTATCCCTTCTTCTCCTCCATTCCCAACCTCCAAAGCCTTAAAAATAAATAAGACATTTGATTTTGAGAAAGTTTTTCTAAATCCCAACAAATACTGTCCATATGTACAATTTGCTCCTAATCCAAAATTCCCTTATAGTGTAAGGCAACATAATGCATTTTTTAAAAAATTCTATGAAGGAGAGCTTTGATAAATTGTCATTGCTGAAGATTTCCTGTGTAGCTGTTGGATGCCCAGTATTAAATGACAGATTCTGGAGTCAAGTTATAAAAAATTTTAGGAAAGATTTTACTGGGGAGTAAAGCAAATTGCTGCAGCCAGGAATCCTGATACTCAAGAAGAGCTATCAAGAACCTCAATTTGAGAAAGATAGCAATCTCTTTTTTATGGAACCTTTGAGGAATTTACTTGGCAAAAAAGATTTAGGTCCTGGAAAGTTGTCACTTAAGCAAAGGTGAGTCCTTTCAAAGCAGGGGCAAAATTGTGATTGGGCCACGTGTCCTTTCTTTTGTTTATAATAGGTGCAAGGGTGCCTGGCTTCATTATGAGGAAGTCTCCAGAGAATGGAAGTTTTGGAAATACCAGTTAAGTAAGGTTTATAGGTGAAAGCACCCAGGGCTGGTCTAAACTGGTTATGGCCGTTTCTGGTTGATGCTAGAGCTGCTCAAAATGACTACTAGCTGTACCTTCCATATATTCCACACCTCTTTTTCCTCCACTCAGCATGCTGATCATAACCAGCTCCAACATCTCATTGCCTGTTTTCATGTATTTCACTCTCACATCATAAATCAATATAACCTTTAAATCCCAGAATGGTCCTGCTGTAGACAGATGAGGAGGTGACCTTGGCACAGAAGCCAAGGTAGCATACACACGGAGAAGGAATGTGAGAAAATCAGCTGAGCAGCCAGGCATGCTGCTAAACATTTGGAGGGCTTAAACATATGTCTATGAAGTCTCATTTGGCAGACAGTGGATACCAGATATTTAGATGGATTCTTCACCTTTAAACAAGACAGTTTAGAACATATATAATGAGTCTAGAACAACATACAAAGCTGCCTTTCTTCATCCTTTTCTGTCTAAACTGTCCTGATTTCTGACTTCACACAATATTACTACATTCAAAAGTTAAAATTAAAACAATTAGGTAGCAGCCAGACAGACTGCAAGAGGGGTGACAGTTATGTGGTCAGAAATAGAAATACTTATAGTCACAACAAGTGACCTAAGAGAACACCTTGGACACTATTTCCCTTTATAGATGAGAAACCAGGGATCTAAGACCAAATTCCACTACATCACTACCTCTTACCTTTCTTGAGGAAGGGATGTATATTTTGCATGTATGTCTTAATTAAGAAAGCTAAATATACAAAACTCCCAGATTGCATAGCCACTGTATTTCGTGATCATTTGCATTAGTTAAGGATGCAGTCTTCATGAAAAGACAGCCTTACTCAGAAACCCTAACTGTATCTATTAGCAACTCTAGTGCACACTTTTGACACATCAGTTTTGCAAAGCAAGGTACTCCTCTAATTCTATTCATCCCCACACCCCAAATAATCAAACAATTGTCCAATGTTAATCTCTCTGTAAAACTTTACAAAGTAATTTTTATCAGTTGTCTGTTACCCAGAAATCAGCTGAAAAGCATTCAGAACAATCATGTTCTCCTCAGCAATACTTACTGGGTTTCCCTCTGTGAAATCTCCAGAACAAAACAAGCAGATCCCTTCTCCAGCCTCCTTCTCTCCTACAAACCCCCAACAAAACACTCAACCCTGGATATTCCTCTTTCCATGGACCAGTTGATCTAGGCTCTGAAGAGTACCTGCCCTCCTAGCTCCCCCTTCCCTCTTTAGTTTTTGTCAAAATGCCAATGAAACAGGAGCCAATACTCGTTTTGTTCATGTTCTTTTTTTTTAAAGCACAAATAACATTTCTTTCAGTATAAATATACAATTCTATGAAAAAGTAGGAGGAAAAAACTGCTATAATCTTTGTCACTGTCCAGCAGGAACATGTTTCATAGTTTACAGAGTCGGCAATCAGAGCCTCTATCTATTAACAGATACTGTTGTCTCAGCCTTGTTCTAGGACACTTACAAACATAGGAAATTCCTTGATCAACAAACAAATCCTTTTAGAGATGATTTAAATATGCCGGTGATGAACGTTTAATTTATATCCAGGGATTAGGGCTACTGAAGTGAGCTAAATACCAAGAATACATTTGCATCCATATAAACCAAAACAAACAAACCCTTGCCGTTAAGTCAATTCCGCTCATAATAACCCTTTAGGACAGAGTAGAACTGCCCCTATAGGGTTTCCAAGGAGCACTGGTGGATTAGAAATGCCGACCTTCTGGTTAGCATCCGAGCTTTTAACCACTGAGCCACCACGGCTGCTGCATCGATATACAAACATTTTATAAATTACTTTGTCACCTTGCAAAAATACATCAGATTTTATCTACAAGAGTTTTCATTAGTTAATAAGTCACTTGCTTTAAAAAAACAATAGCTCAGGTGTGCTTCTCCTGATTCGAGCGTGAAATGCACAGCAGTTGCAGGTCTGAGGGGCACCCACTGCAGCCACACCACCAAGCTGGGAGGGGTGCAAGTTACTTGGCGTGCGCCAGTCGAAGCGTTCCCAGAAGTCTGTCCCAGTGTGTGAAGTAAGGTGCAAAGTTGCAGTTAAACTGGGTGTGGTGCAAGTCGTGGTGCACCACACCCCCGTACCACCCGAAAGGCACCAGTCTGTGAGTGGACCAGGGGAAGTTATAGCCTGAGTGGTCCTCCACCGACAGCCAGATGTTGATCACATGGAACACTAGCACGGTAAGCGGGTGGCACCCGAGCAGCTTGACGTTTACCGCGTCAAAGAAGCCCAAGGAAAACAGCTCCCAGACACTCATGTACTGCGTGGCCAAAGCGAACGAGGACGAGTTCTGGTGGTGCACCTTGTGGAAGGTCCGGTACAGCCAGGGCACCTTGTGGTGCAGCACATGCCACGCGAAGAACTCGGCGTCGAAGAGCAGCAGACAGACCAAGACGTGGCACGCCAGCTCCAGCAGCTCCGGAGCCTCGGTGAGCAGGCGGTCCGGACTACTAGCCCAGTGCAGCAGAGTCACCGGGAACACGAACAGCACGTGCTGGTACAGAGTCTGCCCCAAGCACGGCAGCAGCTGTCGCGCCGTCGGCGAGAAGTTAGGGTGGATCTTGTAGCGCCGCAGCGCGGGCACCCAGGGGTACAACACGTCCAGCACCACGAAGGGCAGGCAGAAGACCACGTAGGTGGTTATCCCAAAGATGACCAGAAAGAAGGGCGACTGCGTGAGGGCGTCCGGGTTCCTCACGCAGTCCCAGAGTGGCTGCAGGAACCGCTGGCTCGAGTTGCAGAAGACCTGGAGCTCCGAGCTGTTCCAGCCGCTCATGGTGAGGCTAAGTCAGGCGCTGCTCCCGCTCGCCTCCGGCCGACTATTCTTAAGGCATGTGGCTCCGCCCCGAGTTATGTCAGCGACGTTTTTGCTCTGTTTCCGACTGCGCTGAGCTTGAATAAATAAAGAACCCAACAAGGTTGCTCGTAGTTGCTATAAATACACACTTCTACAGCCGCATTCAATTGGCTTTTATAGATGCATGTATAAGTAATTGCAGTTAGTAACTTTTCATATGCCTGCAGAATTATTTTCTGATTTTTTAAATTGATGTATAATTTACATACAACACAATGCACAGATTTTCAGTGGAGTTTACAAGTTTTGCCAACTCAATTCATCTGTCATCACCACCCTAAACAAGATAAATATGTCCATCACCCCCAGAAAGCACCCCCTTTGCAATCAATGCAGAATGACTTGTAATTTTAAATGCATACATATAATTGCATTTATGTGTTTTCATAATGACGCAAGGATAACTGAATGTTCTAAAACGTTTTAAAGCGATGTACCTTTTGTACATCAGATCTTTTCTATTTATGCAACCTAACGGAGCGCAAACTATCCTTCCGGAGAGCGGACCGCGGGTCTCCTGGCCGCCCGCAGCGGAGGTCAGGGCAGGATAACGACACTCGACGGCTGGCTGAATAGGAACCTCGGCCAGTTCCAATATCTCTCAAGAGCCGCTTTTCCGCCGGGTTGGCAGCCTCACCAGGAGCGGGCAGCGGGGACCTGCGAGAACAACCCTCCGCGGGTGCCTCGCGCTCCGCCTGGGGAACCGAGACCTGCGACAGGGACACCGACGCACAGCGGCCAAGGGAGAGGGCCGTGACTGCTGGACGTCCCTTTAAAAACAAAACAAAACCAACCAAAATGCTGGCGTAACACCCAAGAACCTACGCAGGTCTAGCTAAAAAGACGCTGCATTTCAAGATGGGAGTTGGAAGCAATGAAACCAGTAAGCCGTCCCCTTTCTTCCTCAAGGGAGTGATTTGTGCCTCCCAAGAAAAGAGGTTGTTGAACGAGCAGGTGATGTCGCGCCTACCCTGCTCTTTCCTCGGTGGACTTCGTGGCGCCAACTTGCCTCTCATCCACCTCCTTCCCCAAAACGATCCCGACCCAGAGAGCCGGACTGTGGAGCTGTTCCTGTCCTCTGAGTTTCTCCGCCCGCGAAGTCTGGCCTGGGCTGAGCGCAAGAGTGTCAGTACTACGAGAGCTCTGGGGAGCTCCCAGGACCAGCAGGAAAAAACTACCTCCGCGTTTGACCTGGGTGGCTGACACGCGACTCACGGGACCCCTAAATGACAGAGGTTTTGGACAAAAACTTTGGAGTCAGGGACCACTCCCAATTCTAGCGTTGCCTCTACTTTATAGCTGCCTGGTTGGGACAAGCGCTTCACTCTGCAAAGCTTCCTTTTCTTTATGCCCCCAAATGGGAAAAATAATAGTAGCCATCTCACTAGGCTGTTGTGAGCATTAAATTGAATAATAATAATAATAAGGCTACCATGTAATGTCTACCTACTGGCTGTGTTGTACTTACGAAACTTGGTTTCATTATGAAATGCAGTGATTTCATAACGCTCATTTAATCTCAGAAGAGCATGGTCCCCCACCCTGCTAAGAAGTGATCATTATCATTGCTGTAATTTTATAGAAATAAAATCATAGTGCCTGGCCCACAGTAAACATATGAAAAGATACATATTATTTTAAATTTTTACTCCACATTTCATCTAAAGAATAATTGAGGAAGCTTGTAATAAAAATCAAATAATACTGTGGAAAGAGAAATGAATGACAGAAAGCCATATATTGTGAGGAAATAATAAGTACAACAAATATATAGACCAATATATAGACCTAGAAATAAAATAGGATATGTACATATCCTATTATTATACATATATAATAGGCCGTTCATAACGTGGTAATATCAGCTGTTGTTTGTCCTTGCACTACTACTGATGGATTACGGATATTTCTTAGATGCTCATCCCCTAAAGCCCCCAGACAGTGGCCTTTGGTCCTATAACAATCTTTTTTTTTTTTTTTTAACCCTATTATGCCATAAGAATGCTATCATATTCTTCTCGTGTCTTAAGAAAATGTTCATAACAGGCAATGCAAAAAGGGAAAAAGGATGGATTTTCTCATGCTCCTCTGATATTTAGTTGGTAGCAGAGAGACAGGTGCAATTCAAACCTCTGGCCTCCCTACTCCTGAGTTTCTTCTAGTTAGACAACCTGTCCTTTCGAAGCTCCTCCCCAACTCCAACCTCCACTACCACCACCACCCTTGCCCCCAACACTATTTCCACTTTACTTTTAGGGCAACCTAGAAACTTTCTTCTTTCTCATTCCTTGCAGAAATGGGCCTGTCCTTGAACTGTGTGTGTCTCAAGCAGTATCTTAGAAGAGGAAGAGCTTTTTCTCCTTCAGTCTGGGACCCCTCAAGGCTCCAAAGGGACCACCAGAGCTTACTTTCTCAGACTTACAGATGAATTCTGCTCACAAATGAAGTATCATTCAAATGTACCCTCAAAGAAATTAAGTCAGCCGTCAAATTCTGTTTCAGCACACTGTCATTTTCTTGTGGTTTCAGCTATCATGTGTGGGTACCTTTGATGCTTTCACAGATTTTTAAGTGAGTGGCATTGGTGGGTTTCCTTAATGGGAGTCTAGCTATTAGATTTAGCTGTCAGGACTGACTCCCTTGAGCCCCCAGCCCCAACCAGCCCACTCTATTCCTTCGTTTTCATCCTCTGCCACTAAACCTGTTAAAATAATCACTGTTGTTGTTAGGTGCCATCAAGTCAGTTTCAACTCATAGTGACCCTATGTACAACAGAACAAAACACTGCCCAGTCCTGGACCATCCTCACAATCGTTGCTATGCTTGAGCCCATTGTTGCAGCCACTGTGTCAATCCGTCTCATTGAGGGTCTTCCTCTTTTTCACTAACCCTCTACTTTACAAGCATGATGCCCTTAATTCAAGAGCATCAATTCTTCTTCGGTCTTCCTTCTTCATTGTCCAGCTTCTGCATGCATATGAGGCAAATGAAAATACCATGGCTTGGGTTCAGGTGCACCTTAGTCCTCAAAGTGACATCTTTGCTTTTCAACACTTTAAAGAGGTTACTAGAGAATAGTCACTAGAAGCCAATTAATAAAGCTCTGTGCAGCAAAACCGGGAAGCCATGGCTTCGGCCTTTGTCCAGGCTCACGCTTCCTGCCTCAAGGCACTGTGAAGAATAAGACTTCTTTGCCTTCCCTGTACATAGCTCACCTGGGAAGAAGGTTATATCCAACATACAAATGCAACCATCTCAGGGAAACCAGTCAGTTAAAAACTTATCAGTTGTCCACTCTATGTCATGGAGGATGCTGAAAAGTAGACACAATATGTCGGGCAACCAAAAACAACATCACTTGAGCCCCCCAAAATCAAATCCTATCTAGTATTGACTAAAGTGGTGTCATTTTTTGACTTGGCAAGCTTTCATCTTTAAACACTTTTTATTTGCACTAAATTTATTTAATAGCTTCCTAAATGATTAGGTCTTGTTAGGACACAGGGTGTATCTTCTAGGACTTTTTCCCACAGTGCTAAGCTTTATGCCTTGCTCATAACGAGTTCAAAAGATACCTGTGGACTAGACGATCATTTAAAAAGATACTGGCTCTAAATCAAGGTTGAAAATTGAAATTAAGAAAAAAATGTTGAGCACCAGTTAATACAGTTTAAGGCTACTACCTTACAGGGATGGTCTTCCACAGAGGGGGGTGTTCACTGATTTCAGATGGGATTGGCCACACAATTTCCTAAACTTTCCTACACTTCTCCAGATGATCATGACTTCCTCTTTCATCTTGGCATGATCTTTCTGATGGGGCCGGAGGACAGGAATCCTCTTTTCTAGCTATTCCAGGAGTCAAATCACTTTTCTGAGAGTACAACAATTAAGACTGTATATATTTAACACAATCTCAAAGTTATTTGGTACCAACTCACCAAAAGGCTTTGGGTACCCCCCCCAAAATAAAACAAGTAGTTGGGAAACCCATTAATTACCAAAGACGCAATCTCTCTCTCTTTTTAATGACCTTCATACTTTTTTTTTTTGTCTTTCCAAATTTGTATGAAACTGTTTTGATATTTATTAAACCAAAACAATTCCTGGATATCAGAGATGTGCATTTGTAGCGTTGTGTAACATGAACAAGTCATAGAGGGTGGAGTAATCGCAAAGATCAAATCTAATCCTTTGTTTTAGAGATTCAGTTTCAGAAAAGTCAAGATTAATGGCCAAACTGGGAATGGAGCCTGGTCAATGTCAGTTCCACATTATGTCTATAGGAGGAGTTTGGGATTAGAAGGGGGTCATTGAAGCTGCATTTACATGGCACTTTACAAACTCAGCAAACATTAATTATATACGACAAAAACAGTATAGGATGCTGATGAAGAATATGACATATGTTAGCTCCCCCGAGAGACTCTTTGATGCCACCACTGACCCAGATTATTGATGTGTATTTGGATTTAAGCACTTTCTCTTTACGTTTTTGATTCATCCATGTCTTGCTTCCACTGAAATTGCTGGAACTCTCATCAACCTATTTAAAACATTTATAACATATAAAATCCCCATTAAAAAGCATACCATTGCCTGTAAAGCAGAGAAAACAGTACTCACCTCACCTGTCAAAGGGATTGCTACAGAGATAAACCCTTGTGAAAAAGCTTAAACCCCAGAAGGCACAATGTAGAACGCAAAACATTATTTTTAGTACAACTAAAACAATTTGGCAAAGAAAAGACTTTTACTTGCTTAGTGTGGAATTGAACTTGAAATCTGCACTTAGCACGATACATAAATACCAGTAAATACTCTTGAATGAATTAATGGCTGATAAACTTTTTTAAAAATCAGAATAATTACTACTTGATGCTGCCTTTCAAGGGTCACAAGAGACCAGACCTACTTCCATTTTGAAAAATTTTTCATATACAGGTACTCCCAGACGTACGATGGGGTTCCATTCCTTCTGATGTAAGTCGAATACCTCATTAAATTTTTCATTATTATTGCCTTTTATTATCAGTATCTTTACAAATCCTATCTTTATTTGTCTTTGGGGGTTGGAAACATTACACATAAATTTACAGATATATTTTAATACACATATACATACATACATATTACTAACGATAAGATGTACAAAACAAAAACAAAAAACAGATGGTCCTAAGGGCAATTCATTGTAACTTGATTACTTGCTAAGTTGGGGACTACCTGTATTAAAAAATAAATAAATGCCAAGAGTTAAAAATATAATGTATTTTAAATACTTACAGTTAACAACTGTTGTTGTTGTATGCTGTCGAGTCAATTTTGACTCATAGCGCCCGTGACCCTATAGGACACAGCAGATAGAACTTCCCCACAGGGTGTCTTGGGCTATAATCTTTATGCGAGCAGATCATCAGGTCTTTTCTCTCACGGAGCAGCTGGTGGGTTCCAACTGCCAACCTTTTGGTTAGCCGCTTTGCTCTTATACATTGCACCAACAGGGTCTTTTTTAACAAATAATTTAATGCCCACAAACCAAATAATTTTCATTTCTTGGAGATAATGTCAATAGTCTAAATTTTCGTCCTTAATAAATTGAAGTCTGGGTTAAAGACTTCTCCAGTCTCCTCCCATCCTGCCCTTCCCCCATGTCTGTGGTACTGACCATTCATTTATCTATTTAAGTAAAATTTTATTTTCATAAGTCACATTTGGGGGATAGCTATTCTTTGGGAAAACTTTTCACATATTACTCATCAGGCAAGAATCAGTGACAATCCAAGGTTGACATGATCACAGCCACAGCTACCCTAACCAGCCCTCAAACTACTAACTGGCTGATAAGCAACTAAGTTCACTACCTTTCCAAGAGGAAGGAACTAGAGAAAGCCTTTCTATGAAAAGCAAAGTGGTAGGGGCTTGGGAAGATTGGAAGCAAAGCAAAGCGTGCCCTCTTGTGGCAAAGGAAAAAATTATTTTCTTCATTTTCAGTTGTGACTACATTTGGTGACTCTTCATTTCCCCCATGTAAACACAGTATTTTTAAAAGTTCCAAGTTGGCCGAACATTAACTATTTTTTTCCTTGCCCTAGAGATCTACGGAGATCTTTGTGTTCTGCTCAACAGAATATACGTAAAAGCCAGTAAAAAATAAGAAAGTCAGAGCCCCTCCAATGCTTCACAGGACTTCTGGCAGCATAGATTCCAACCTTGCTTTGTACTCTTAGCCAAGGATAGAATGAAACTTTGTTAATACATCCAGGGTTATTAGGCTATGCAGCTATGTCAAGGGCAAGAGGATACCAACAAAGGCAAATGTGCAGTGTAACCCTACCGTAGCAAGAACCAGCATGCAACATCTCCACCTTTAGACTGGTCTACACACTAAATAGAGGGCTTTAGTGGTTCAGGGGAGTATTGGTGGCGCACTGGTTAAGAGCCTGGCTGCTAAGCAAAAGTTGGCAGTTCAACTTCACCAGCTGCTTCTTAGAAACCCTATGAGGCAGTTCTACGCTGTCCTATAGAGTCTCTATGAGTTGGAATTGACTCAGTGGCAACAGGTTTGGTTTTCTGGTTTGGTGGTTCAGTCATAGAATTCTCAGCTTCCATGCAGGAGACCCGGGTTCGATTCTGGCCAGTACACCTCAGTGTAGTCACCGTGCATCTGTCAGTGGAGGTTTGCATACTGGTATAATGCCGAACAGGTTTCAGAGGAGCTTCCAGACTGAGATGGACTAGGAAGAAAGGCCTGGAGATCTACTTCCAAAAATCAGCCAACGAAAACCCCATGGATCACAAGGGTTGGATGCACAGCTATTCAGGGATGGCCCAGGACCAGGCAGCATTTCATTCCTTTGTGCATGGGGTTGCCATGAGTCGGGGGGCTGACTTGACAGGAGCTGACAATAATAACAACACACTGAATAAAGTCCCCAGACAAAAGCTGGGAAAGGATGCAAACAGAAAAACAGGCCTGCAGAAGGTGGATCTATGGAATACAGCTCCTGCATCATTCCTGTCTACTGTCTCGTGTGTAGAAGCTTTACTGCCCCCAAGTTCTCATGGGCATCTATGGGATCTCCATGGAGCAGCCAAATCTAGATAAACCAAGTCATCTATGGCAGAGAAGCCTTTCACTGGCAAGCCCTCTCCCCCTACTGGTGGAAAACAACCAACAGAAACGCCCCTTACTGTCCCTTTCTTTCCAGCCCTGCCCAAGAATCTTGTACCTGCTTGGCCTGACCATTTTGCTTGGTCAAAGGAGAAAAAAGGGCTCTTTGGGGGACATACGGCCAGTGGAGGGTGGCACCCTCCTGTAGATGCACCCTTTACATCTAGTGCACTTTTTCTCTTTTCTCTTGGTGCCATGAAAATCACACTGATGCCATTTCAGTCCTCAGACTCTCCCAGATGTTACTTGTGCTTAATTTCATTTAGCCACATGAAAATTTCCACCGCCCTTCACACATTTAATCAGTCTACATCCATTTACTGAGACTCACTATATCGCAGACCCTGTGTTAGATTCTGGGTATACAGAGATGAGTGTGCCCTCAAGCTTACAGAGTAGTGGCAGAGATCACACGGGGCCCCAAGTCTATGTTTTGGGGCCCCTATGGCATGACCGAAGTCCTTGGGTAGTGCAAATGGTTAACGTGCTTGGCTGTTAACTGAAAGGTTGGTGGTTCAAGTCCACCCAGAGGCACCTCAGAAGAAAGGCCTGGTAACCTACTTCTAAAAAAATAGCTATTGAAAGCCCTACGGAGCATAGTTCTACTCTGACACACATGGGGTCACCATGAGTTGGAACCAAATCACCAGCAATAACTGGCATGACATGGCCTGTCTCTGTCAGCCTTGTTTGTCTCATTTGTACAATGAAGGAATTGAGTGGACAATCTGTGAATCCATGGTCCTGGCTGAGCCTATCATCTACCTGAAGATGGAGTTAATCACTGTCTAATCTCCATTCACAACTTCACTCATATGGACCCTGCAAGATAACTTTCAAAGCTAATGTTTCCAAACCATCTCCCAACCTTTCTTAGCCTTGAGACCACTCTCTCTTCCCCATGGGAAAGGAACAAATGCTCATGGGCAGCATCAGTGAGGTTTACAAGGAGTAAAGAGGAGAGAGATGAGAAAGAAAAGCATAAGTCCTGCCAAAAAGAGAAAGGGAAGAATAGAAAGGCTATTAAATAAACGAGAACACACAAACGCACTCCTACAAACCTATGAGGCTCACCGAGTTTTATTGAAAAGTTTAAAGAGGACTCTTTCAATGTTACAAAGCAATATTAGTCTGCCTTCACGTATCAGCCAATATTAAGTATTCTTATTGCAGCTAAGATAATTATATCAAATTATATAAAAAACAATTGAGTGGTCATTTTGTCCATCTGATATCATCCTAAAGAAATGATGTTCCAAGAAGAGCATGTGAATACGGGCTTCTTGACATAGGGATGCAAATCAAGAGCATTAACAATATGGATACATGTAAAGCTACAAAAACTCAACGAACCCCTGAGTTTTAATCCAGAAACATTCACATTCATATGTCTTCTGTGTGAAATTAGATTAGGACACTCTTCTCATGGACGGGCTCAGGATGTTTGCTTCACATAGACCTCGTCGCTGAGATACTAGTTAAGAGAACACATTGATTTCAGGGAAAGATAGTGGTATACTCGCCCCACAGGGTTTTTCTTCTTCTTAAACAAGTGGAATTATGATGTGCCACAGAATTTCGAGTTTATGAATATAGACAGTTGAGTGTACCAGTCTTCAATCTATTGAAAACATACTAGTTTTTGTTGTGTGTTTTTTTTTAAGTCAGTGCAATTTCTTTTGGGAGACTCCAGCAAATAATTTTGTTTCGCCTGAGCAGTTTAAACACTGGCTAAATAATAGCTATCCCAGTGAGGTTTGGTAAGTGAAATTCATTATGGAACCTTTACAACTGGCATAGCTGTATGTCACTGGATTTGATTCTGCACCTACTGAATGAAAACATGAGAAATTGTCATTTAGACTCCTAAATACAAGGTCATTAGACTGGGGAGCTTTTTAAGGCAAAGAGATGGGAACTGCGCACTTCTACACTGAGTTTTGCTCAAGTGTATTTACCAGATTATTTACCAATGAACAACACTGTTTAAAAATTCCAACACGTGTGAATTTGCCCTCTTTGGAGGTAAAAAGGCAATATCACATATTTTAAATTTCAAGAATAAACAAGATGATTATAATGGCCTTTTCACAAATCAGTGATTTTTTTTTTCAAAACTTAAACAACACATGGTTGAGACACTAGCTTCATATTCAGCTGATGATCATCATTAAACAAATTTAAAAAAAATAGCTACTAGGGCTGAAGACTGGGAACCACGGTCTCAGGGGACATCTAGGTCAACTGGCGTAACATAGCACATACAGCCTACTTTGGTGAGCAGCATCTGGGGTCTTAAAAGCTTGTGAGCAGCCATCTAAGATACATTTATTTGTCCCATCTCATCTGGAGAAAAGGAGAATAAAGAAAAGCAAAGACACAAGGAAAATATCAGTCCAAAGGACTAATGGGCCACATGAAGCACAGCCTCCACCATCCTGAAGAACTAGATGGTGCCCAGCTACCACCACTGACCACTCTGACAGGGATTAGAATAGAGGGTCCCATACAGAATGGGAGAAAAATACAGGGGAAAAAAAATTGCTAATATGTTTCTAATCCTAACTAGTGAGAAACTGGTATGTTCAAAATCCATTTCCTAGGGTTTAAAAATAGAAAAGCCTGGGAAAGAGAAACAAGTATTCTATAGGAAATAAGCAATCAAATTTTAACACATCTTGACCAACAACTTGGCTATAAATTTCTCAAGTCTGGCTTTCACTGATATTTCCTCATTAGATTAACAAGTTCATTATACATCCGCCAAGGGGCATCCAAGCCCCAGATAAAGTCGAGATGCTCCCATTCAGGAAGGTACTTGTGGTACACCAAATTGGTGATCTGGGTCAGTAAGATACTGACGTCACTAACGTCTGCGAGCGAGTCCCGGCCCCCATTCCAGACTGCAGTTGGCACAGGCATGTCTTTCACATTGTAAGTGGGAGGGTAAGTCTACAATAAAAATCCACAGAAAGTTTTTGGTTTTTTTTCCCCCAAAGTCACAATGAACACACTCTCCATTAAACACTATTGAATAAGTTAGATGGGAGAATAAGAGACTAAACTGTAAAAAGCATTGATTATTGGTTCACTTTTCAGGTTACCATTGTCAGATAAACAACAAAACCCTAAGCCACATGAAAGAATAATAACTACAAGAACTGCTAGTTACTGAGCTATCACCACATGCTAGGTAGGCACTGTCACAAGTGTTTGAATTCCTGTGAGGAAGGTGTCGTTTTCTTCATCTCATAGATGGGAGGCTGTAGAACTGAGTGATTGGAAAGGTGCTTTGGAGACATACCCTCCTACTTTCTCCTCTGGGATGTAAGGCAAGTTATAGAAATTCTCTAAGCCTCATCTTTAAATCTTTGCTCATCTTTAAATTAGCGATAATCACATCTATGCCACAGGAATGTTCTAAGAATTAAAAACAGAAACAAAAACCATGGGCAAAGTGCCCCACATTTAGCACTCAAAAATTTGTAATTTTTTTTTTTTTTAATATGAAAGAAGTTTAGGCAACGTAATTTGGCCAAGGCCCCACAGCTTACAGGACAGACTGAGGATTCTCTGACTCAAGAGTCTATGTTCACAGTCACTATGAATAACGTATGACAATGTCAACTCTTATTTGGAGCCAGCTAGAGGACAAGGAGAGGAGACTCAGCCTACAACCCCAACCATGAAGCTTGAGCTGTTCTGGAATTGACCGAAGGAAAACAAATCCTACCCAGTCAACTCTCCCAAACACTTCCCACAGCCCTTCCAGAATCCCAATAACAGGCTGGCTTCCTTGATGGGTTTTCAAGAACCGTCTTAATTCTGAAGACTTTACCTGGTTGTAATGAAAATAATTCCTGGCAGTGCTTCCCCAGTCAAAGGCTTGGAAGTTTGGGGATTTAACAGCCTAAAAAGAAGATAGTTAGAAAAAAAAGTTATCTGACACAGAAGTTTGAGATAGTATCATAGGTTGCTGGAGTTAACCATGGCTTCAGAAATCAACCAGATTTACACTTCATTTCCAAACCGTAATTTAAAATGAAATGGCATTGTTTTGTTCTCTTTTACTAAACAACTCAATTTCTCATCATATAATTGGACAATAGCTATCATATCACACAATAAAACAGCTACACACATACACTTTAAATTATACTGGATCAATGGTTACTCCCATTGAATGAGCTTTATGCTGATGTTTTTTTGAATCTTAATTTTTTTTCAAAGAGTAACTGTTTGGCTTCAGAAGGAATACATATTTCTTGAGTACCAGTGTAATTACGAAATGTCTACTGTGAACCAGTACAATTTCTACCCAGCTGGGAAGACTACAACCATGAATGGTATTTTATATAAAATTTAAATTTCTACATATTTAAGAGTATGATATAAAATATTTTTAAAGTAATTCATTTGTAAAGTTTGAAATAATACAAATCCATATTTACCTCAGACCTCCAAGTTAAAAACATGTCAATAATTAAATCTAAAATCGGCAGGCCAAATGAATTGGGAACTGTGTTTAAGCTTTGGCCACACGGTGGTGCCACACTAACTGAGAAAAGAGAACGACCCAGACACATTCTTCTCCAGAACCGCTTCTGACAACGTGAAGTGTCAGTTACTATCAACTGCATAAAATTCTGGTTGATGTAATAAAAGACAGAGTGAGATTAGATACCACAGAAGATTGCTACAGGAGAAATGTTTCGCATCTGCTTTTGCTACTGCAAATGACAGTTATTAAATATGGCAATGTATTTAATAAGCAGAACAAAATATGAATTTATAGCACCTGTTAGTGCATCTGTTCCCTATCTCTAATTGTCAGTGGAAATATATCAATACAAGCTGTTTTCCTGCTGTACACAGACATCACTTTGTCACATATGTCTTTCAGCATTTATATAAAGTACCCGGAGGGAGTACAGAACGTAAAGGAAAAACTTGCCTGTATCTCACACTGACCTTCTAAACTTGAAATCTGTGCTCAGAGTCACATTAGGAATTCAAAAAATATCCATTTTAGAAGGCATCTCAGGAGTAAAATGTGAAAATTATTTAAAGGAACAAAAATGTGGAAAGAAGCTAAAGTCCAATAATAGATGTTTTGTTAAAGAAATTATACTACATCAGTATACATAAACAGTATGCCACCTCATAAATAATAAATATAAATATAAGCTAGAAACAGAAAACTATTTATAAATAATGTTTACAAATAATATTAAGTGGGAAAAAAAGTCAAAGTGAAACTGAATATGCACTATGGTTACAATTATGTAATAACATGTGGCTAAAGATGAGGGCAAAATGCTTGTAATAGTAGAACAGTTGGTTCTAAAGTGACATTTTAAAAATTAATTTTAGGTCTCAAATGTTAAAAAATGTAAATAGGTTCAACTTTTCTAGAGTACAATATGTATCAGAAGTCTTAAAAATATGCTTACCCTCTGGTCAGTAATCTATCTCTACAAATATATTCTAAGAAAATAATCTGCCTAATGTATAAACACTAAACTATAATACAAGGATATTTATTCCACGATGGTTACCATCGCAAAAAAAAAAAAAAAAAAAAAAACTATGATAGAAAAAAAAAAGATTAAAATTCAAGCAATGGAAAAATGTCTCTTGATTAGGAATATTTTAAAATTTTAATTATTGACCTGGAAAGGTATTTTTGATTACGACTTTTTTTTGGCCACCAAGTTGATTCAGACTTATGGCCAACTCATGTGTGTCAGAGTAGAACTGTGCTCTATAGGGTATTCAATAATGATTTTTTTGAAGTAAATTGTCAGGTCTTTCTTTCAAGGCACCTCTGGATGGACTTGAACCATCAACCTTCTGATTAGCAGCCGAATGTGTTAATCATTTGCACCACCCAGGGACTCCTAATCACTCCACAGTGCCCATTCTCCCCTTCTTGCTTTCAGTAACAAACCCCTCAAGTTTTTGTTGAGAACATGGCCGCCAGGCAGAAAGCCCATCCTCTACCCCTCTCTAGCTAGGCTATAAGACATACCACTCACTTCTGAGCTAACTCCTTAACTTGAAGTCACTTGCCCTGTCTTGTCTCCCCCACTTCCTGTGGGCTGAAGCAGATACAGAGGCAATCCAGCTTCAACCAGGCAGAGGAGGACAGCACCCTAGAGATGGAAGCGCTATATTACCGGGGGTCCCTGCGTGACCTCATGGGGCACAGCCACACCCCCCTCCACCACCAGCCTGAGCCACTGTTCTCTGGACTGCATTATGAGTAAGAAATAAACTATGTATTTTAGCAACTGTATTTTTGGGTCTCTGATACAGCAACTTAGCCTGTATCTAACAAATACAATACTACTTAATTAAATAAAGTTATGAAAAAGTACATGTAATATAATCCTCTTCATAATGGAAATGATTGTATCAAAAAATGGAAGGTTATACCAAAATACTAATGTGGTGATTCCTAGGTTGTGGACACATGGGAGATTTATTTTCTTCTTTGCACTCATGTACCAAAAAAACCAAACCCACTGCTGTTGAGTCGATTCTGACTCATAGCAACCCAACAGGACAGAGGAGAACTGCCCCACAGGGTTTCCAAGGCTGTAAATCTTTATGGAAGCAGAGTGCCACATCATTCTCCCATGGAGCAGCTGGTGGGTTCGAACCACGGACCTTTTGGCCAGCAGCCAACCATGTACGTTCTAAAATTTCATAATGAACACATATTATATGTATAATAAAAATTTTACTAAATATTCATTTTACAGTGTTTTAAAGAGAATTTCTTACCATGCTTTTGGTATGGTTTTTTTTTTTTTTTTAAAGCAGTAACTTTTAAAGATGGAGTCCCTCAGTGGTGCAAATGGTTAAGTGCTCTGCTACTAACTGAAAGACTGCTGGTTCAAATCCACCCAGAGGTGCCTAGGAAGAAAGCCTTGTCAACCAGCTTCCAAAAGATCACAGCCATTGAAAACCCTATGGTGTGCAGTTCTACTCTGACACACATGGGGTTGCCATGAGTTGGAATCGACCCCACAGCAATGTGCTTGGCTTGCCTAAGTTTCAAACAATAGAGTACATCAGCATTATCAGCATCATCTGCCGGGGGGGGGTGGCGGTGCTTATTAAAATGCAGATCCCAAGGACATCCCTCCAGGAATTCTGATTTTCAATAGGTCTTAGGTAAGACCCAAGAATCTGTATTTTTAACAGCACCCTAAATTAATTTTGACCAAACCAAAAATAAACCAAACCCCTTGCCATTGAGTTGATTTATACTCATAGCGACCCTACAGGACAGAGTAGAACTACCCCATAGGGTTTCCAAGGGAAAGGGGCCCTGGTGGCACAGTAGTTACGTGCACAGCTGCTAACAGAAAGGTCGGTGGTTCAAACCTACCAGCTGCTCTGCAGGAGAAAGATGTGGCAATCTGCTTCCATAAACATTACAGCCTTGGAAACCCTATGGGAAGTTCTACTCTGTGCTATAGGGTCACTATGAGTTAGAATCGACTCGATGGCAACAGGTTTTAATCTTTACAGAAGCAGACTGGCACATCTTTCTCCCACAAAGCAGCTGGTAGATTCGAACCACTGACCTTTTGGTTAGCAGTCGAGCTATTAACTACTGTGCCACCAGGGGTTCTTGATTCTGACCAACACTGTCAAAGATACCTTAGAACCAGCCTTTCGGCAGGGTTAGTGAGAAGGCTAGAGATAGTCACAAGAGTCTTGTCTCTGGGTGGGTCTCTGAAATTTGTCAGGTTTATAAACAGAATATTAAAAGCTCAATAAAGAACTAGGTTTTAGAATTGTTAACAACTGAATGCTAATTGTTTAAACGAAAAGTAAACTTCCGCAGGTATTGTAAATAAAATGCCTTTAAAGGGAACCCCCAAACTCATACCACAGGAACCTCCAAGCTTTACACCAACTGCAAGTCTCAGCCTGCCAGCATCCAGGCCCCAACCACCTGCAGCGATACAGCCTGCCCCAGTGTGTCCTTGACAGGTAGAGTGGCAGCCCCCACCAATGCCCCAAGGAGAAGATCTTATGAAACAGCTGCATAAAGCTACTATTTTACTGATAAAGGCGGTAACTGAGTGAGCAGAAGGGCAAAGGGCAAGGCTGCTCTCTGCAGTGAAACTGGGCTTTAGAAATGCTCATGAGGCAAATTCCAATGTGGTTAGACCCTAAAGCCACAAGGTCAGAAGTAAGCCAGAGAGCTGTGTTCTGGCATCAGCCTGTAGCCTTTGACCCCGGCCAGCTGGAACAAGAGCAGAAGCCTGGATTGCAGTTGACCCAACAGCTCGACAACCAGCCCACAGCCAGTGGAAGCCTGGGACACAGAAGGGTGAAGTAGCGCCAATGTGTAATATTAAATACAGTGGTCTTATAGCCGTGGTTTCAACATTCCCAAGGCCCCTGGAAGTCTGGGTCTGGGGGCCATTTGTATTTTGTTGAGGCAGGTGTTGGACCAGGTGCAGGCTGCAAGGGTCACTAAGCTGGTGGGCAGCTCAGCATCTGCCTTCAGCCCGGCTCAGTCATCCTCCACGCACCTCTGGGAGTACACTAACTCCTGAGGTGACATAAATTCCACCTTATTTGAAATATGTCCATTAGGTAAGAGGAAAAAAATTCTCAAAAAGGTAGGGTAAAATAATGGATATTACCCGTGAGTACGGTGCTCCGTTAAAAAACCATCTATATGAGACCAAAACATCAACAATTACTCTAAAGCAAAGATGAGAAGATAAGGGGGCAGGGAAACGAGAGTAATGGAAACGGAACAACAGGTACCCAAATAAAGAAAATGTTGACACATTGTGAAAAATGAAACTAACATCACTGAACAATTTGTGTAGAAATTATCAAATGGGAATCTAGTTTGCTGTATAAACTTTCACGGAAAACACAATAAAATATTATTTTCAAAAAACAAAAAAGAAGGGTAATTTTGGTGACAGGGTACACAAAGAAAACAAGTGACTGTAACAAACGTTACTGAGGAGAAAAGCAGGGGCCTGAATGAACATTTTTGAGTTTGAGGACTTCTGAAGGTTTCAGGACATCCCTTACGGGGGGCAAGGGAGGTGCACTATTCACCTTGTAATGGACTTCTTTCCACCCCAGATGCCCTATTCTAAGCCACAGGAAACTCTATCACTGAGTCACTGACATTTAATGGTCAGTCTATTAGAACCAGAGCTTTGAACCAGTTCCAACCAGCTGAATCACAGCCAATGAAGCAAAATCAGAACAGACCCAAATTTTAAAAAGCAGAATGATAAGCGCAACAGGAAACATTAGGGTTCGAAGCCCTGGGATGGGAGACTTGGAAGAGGTGTAGTGAGCCCTTTCAGGAGCCTGATGCAGGAAGCTGGATTACTGCCAGGACTGTGGAGACTGACACACATTCAAAGTAGCATGGTCAGGCACCATCTTTGAGCAGGGCACCGCTGTTTCCGCCACTGCCAATCAAGAGATTTGGTTGCTATGCAATGTGCATGCTGCACGTGTTTTCTAAAAGGCAGATTAAGTTTCTAACAGGGCTTCAACTCATAATTTTTCCTGTTCGGCTTCACCCACATTTTAAAATTTCGGGTCAATTCAGGTTTCAGCTCATTGGCCATGACTGAACCGGGCAGAACCAGTTTGAAGACCTAATTAGAATGTCAGCTGGGATTGCAGCTAATACAATAATTCACCTGAAAACCCAACTTCCTCTCATTTTCAAACAATATTTTATCAAAAGGTGTAATTCTAAAAGCAACTCAGGTGAGTCAGAGGCAGGCAGCGACTGCCTGGTATTAGGAAATTGCAATCCAAGATAACCACAGCATCTTGGTTTGGAACTTAAACAGTGAGTTATTTCATATTTTAAAAGAAGTTAGCTGCAAAAAAACAATAATAATAATTGTTGAAAAATATTTTCTGAAGCAGAAATAAGTCCACGACATACTGTCAGGTTTAAAAAAAAAAAGCAGGTCACAAAACAATAAGTAGAAGAAAATAAATTCATCGATTTCTACATCTACAGTTTCTATCTATACCTTTAACTGCATCTTTCTGAAATGATGTACAACAAGATGCATACCGTAGAATGAAGAGATATTTCACATCTCTGGATGCACATCCCCTATCTTGTGTAGGGTTATAGGATAACTTTTATTTTTACTTTCTAAATTTTCTAAAATGAACATGGATTACTTCTCTAGTATCTGATAAAACAATAAAAACTATATTTTAAAAGTTAGTGGCTCCCCATGTAGGGTGGATGAACCCTTGAAACTACTGCCCTGAGATAATCTTTAAACCTTAAAGCAAAAATATTCCCTGAAGTCTTCTTAAAATTGAACAATAGTTTAGCTTAACTAGTAAAAATGGTCTGCCTTGAGCATTATGCTCTTTTAAGAACTATCTATATGGGATCAGATTGACGATAGCAACTCAAAAAATTAGATAGGAACCTTAGGGAGCAGTGAGTTTATGTTAAAGAGGGAGAAACAACTCAGAAAAGGAGGGTGAGAATAGTTGCACAACTTGAAGAATGTAATCAATGTCACTAAATTGTACATGTAGAAACTTGAATTGGTGTATGATTTGCTGTGTATACTCTCAACAACAACAAAATAATAAAATATAAAGGAAAAAAAAAAGTGGCACCCATTTACATCTATGATTGGTTTAGCTCTCAATTATCCACTGATGCTCCAGGCATATTGGGACTATGGGTTAATGCTGAAATGTTATTGTGTGCTACTGAGTCGACACCGATTCACAGTGACCCTAGATGACAGGGTAGAACTTCCCCATAGGGTTTCCTAGGCTGTAATCTTTACGGGAGCAAACTGCCAGGTCTTTTCAAACCCATGGAGTGGTGTAGTATGCCCTGCGGAGGATAAGAAAAGTGGCATAAGCGCAATGACAGGGACCCAGAACTCTGGAATAGAAACCAGCCTGGATGTGTACGCAGACTGTCTTTCTGTCTAGGAAGGGTTTGCAAAGAGACGCTCTGAGGAACGCACAGACCTTCCTAACATGGACTTTCACAACCCCCGACCGCACTCCTGGAGTGCCTACCTGGCTCCAGTGTATCATGTTTTGCACAGAAGTTCCGGCAGGAGAGTGTGTTATATACACATCCACTCTAGACTGCAAAATAAATACGATGAAAATAGTGTTAAAGTAGCATCAGCAATAAACATACATTTCCCTTCAAAGCATTAAAAACTACAGAGCCCTAATCTCAAATATATGAGATCAGGGGCAGGGGTAAAATTTCTTGACCACAAATATGTTGCTCTAAAAACACACGTGGTCACATACAGAGTATATATGAAGGACCATGGAGCTGCACAGGTTCAGAGTACAGGTACTTTTACTTCCTTCTTCATGCTTTTCTGAACTTCCAAAATCTTATATAACTATCATACCTTACTTTTATCATCAGAAAAAATATACATCATTTTTTAAAAATTCCCTAGAGCCTTCATTCCAGAATTTTAAAATCTGTTTTCAAAATGTAACATTAAAAACTATAAACAGATTTAGAAATACCAGCATATTGCTGGCCCAGGGTTTATATTTCAAAAAGTAAATATATTTAATACATATACACACACACACACACACGTATATTTATATATGTATATATATTTATATATGTATATATATTTAGCTATTCTAGATTCAAAACAGTAATTTTTAAAATCACTAGAATCTATATAAATAGTGTCAATTAAATTGTGACAGAGTTCCTCTTTCAATAGTTTCCATAAAGCCACAATGTAGGAAGTTGACAACCACCTGCCTTATGATAGCAGCAAATGGTATTCTAGGAATTTGCCAAAGTTGATGACCCTTAAGAAGAGAGAAAGGTGAGATTTCATCTCATGTACTTCAGACATGTTATCAAGAAGGACATCATGCTTGGTAGAGGGTCAGTGAAAAAGAGGAAGATTTTCAACAAGATCGATTGGCACAGTGGCTGCAACAATGGGCTCAAACATAGCAACAACTGTGAGGATGGCACAGGACCAGGCAGTGTTTTGTTCTGTTGTACAAAGGGTCGCTATGAGTCAGAACCGACTAGATGGCACCTAACAACAACAATGACCCTTAAATGACCCTTTAGAAAACCAATGAGGTAGTTCCTGCCTCTCCCACATCATCCAATACAAATACATTCACAGATAAAATAAAATCATTGAAGGTTTAAAGCAAGTCTTACTATAAACATACATACCATATTCAAATTTTTCTCATTAAATCCACACAGAACAAACATGATATTTTCACACAACTTCCTCAGAATGACTTGGCTACAAACATGGGTACCCAGCCACTTCACAATTGCATTCTCCGGTAAAAAATCTTTGGCTCCAAATAAGTCCTATAAGAGAAAAAGCCCAAGAATAGTCTCAGTATCTCTGGTACAAAGGCTTCCATGACCCACCTGGCAGAGACAGGTGGCCAATATCTCCACTAATAAACTCCAGAGTGAAGTGGTAAAGCTAGGATTCAAACTAGGATACTTATGTGATACATTTACTAAGACAAAATCAGATTATTTCCCCCAATGTTACAGATAAGTATTTAAAATCTCAAAATGAAGAAAAGGAAGCATAATTACATATATTACAGTGGGAAAGGGCCTTAGTGATAATCATCCTAAGGCCATCCCCAAATAGTTTTCATCTGACTCTAATAGATTGGGAGCAACTTCTGAGAAAGAATGGAGACTATGATTGTTAGCAATGTCTGCCAAAGGCATCCATCTAATCCAATTCTATGTATTATCTACATGAGGGGCAAATTGGCAAACTACAGCCTGTAGGTCAAATGTGTTCCCCTGCCTCTTTTTAAAAATAAAGTTTTATTGGCACACAGTCACACTCATTTCTTCACATATTATCAGTGGCTGCGGTCCATGATACAACAGAGTAGTTGCAACAGAGGCCCTATGGCCCACAAAGCTGGATATATTTACTATCTGGTGCTTTACAGAAAAAGTTTGCCTACCCTTACTCTACATCATTCCTGACCAAGGGTCCCTGAGCTTGTGCTCAAGTACTTCTGGGGCAGTTACTACATTCGCAAGAGTTTCTTTCCACACTTGTGCAATAGGAAATAGGAAAAATATCTTCCTTACATTGACCCCAACCAAATGTGTTCCCTTATAATTTACTCTCGCTCATGCCTATCCTCTGGAGGATCAAGCAGGACTGAAAAGTTTAAATGCCTACAAAGGCAGGCATGTCAGTATAAATGTGTAAACCCGTAAATGGAATGTGCCACACTGCCTCAGTGCTTGTGATTAGGGAGTGTTGAGAACCGTGGGAAACCAGAAAACTTATGTTTAGCGTAATGCGTACAGCAGCTGTTTGCTCTGGCCCATCGCTGTCCCATAGGACTGTGGTGCACAGCTTCCTTCTTCTTTTTCCCTAAAATAGTCCTCAAAATTTTAATGTTAAATATCCCACTTTTCTAATGGTGCAACATTTAAACATTGTATGGGCTGTACTCAACACTCTTCTAGGCAAATGTGGCCCCCCTACAGACAGCCTGTGTTGTCTGTCAAATCAGTCTTCTACAAGGCAATCCATCAAGATCTAAAGACAGATCTAAAGACAGACAGCAGGTCTAATTTTCCTCTTCTCCAGACTAACCATACTAGAATTAGTTGGGCAGAACAAGGAAGCAACTACAACAGGTAGAGATGGTCATACAACATAAAAAGGTATCATTTTTACAAGTCCTGGCTTTGAGTCTACATAACGGTTACACAGGACAGAAACACATATATTTGAGGCCCTCTACTAAAAGCAGGTTAACAGGATGATGCATCAGTGATGTAAATACACAATAAACCGAACTTTCCTTTCAACTGGCAAAGGACACAAAGTTGACTTTGTACTCCAGCACCACTATGCAAACAGTAACGTGGCAAACTCGCCTGAGAATTACATGAAAGCAGGGCCGTGCATACAGATAAATTCACCTCAAGCATTTACAGGCCCACCACGTCAACTTTGGGTTCTTTACAATTTACACCTTTGTATTTTCAGAAAGGATTAGAGGGGATATTCAATTTTAATGGAAGTAACATGTACTTGTCAGAGCAACTAATTAAAGGTTTTATGAACATTTGTGCATTCACTTTGTCAGTCTCCCACGATGGTATAAAATGCAATTATCTGGAACAGCGGGTCCCAAATACCAATCTGCTTCACTTACATCAGACTCATGTAGGAAACTGTAAAAACACAGATCCAACAGGCCCTACTCCAGAATTAACGAAACACCATCTCCAAGGGTAGGGGGTAGGAGTGTGCATTTTTACAAAGCCATTAAATCACAATCTCCAAGGGCTGGGGCACACCAGAATTTTTCTTGTTATGAAGGTCCTCCAGAGTAGGGAAACAGGTTGTTTATATTAACTGCTGATGGGAGTTTAAATTGGTAAAGCCACAATGAAAGGCAGTATGTATTAAACTAAAAATGCACATTCTCTAAGATGCAGCACTTTCACTTCCCCATACCACTCCAGGGAAATACCCAAGAAAAGGAGGATATATTGACAATGACACAGCAACAACCTAAATGTCCACCATAGAAGGCTGGTGAAATAAATAGTAGTTCCTGATAATGGGAAACTTACTATGCAGAAGTGGTAAAGTTTATGTATCAACATGATAGCTCTCCAAGGCTGAAAAATGCAATCTGCAGGGCAATATATATAGTAGGGTACTGTTTACATTAAAACAAAACAATATATTTCTCTCAGTGCATACATAAGGAGCGTTGGCGGCGCAGTGGTTAAAGCTATCAACTGCTAACCGAAAGGTCGGTGATTCAAAACCACCAGCAGCTCCAAGGGAGAAAGATGTGGCAGTCTGCTTCTGTAGAGATTTACAGCCTTGGAAACCCTATGGGGTCGATACGAGTCAGCATTGACTTGATGGCAGTGGGTATGGTTTGGGTACATATATATGTGTAAATTCACACGAGGTCTATAGGAAAATACCCCAAACTGAGCACTATGCTTAATTCGGGGGTGAGAGGGAGGCTAGGAGAAGGTTTGGTAGTTGAGGGGTACTTTATTTGTAATCTCTGAATTGTTTATAATGAAAACTGATACATCCATCACCCAAATCGGTTCTACTTTGTCCTATAGGGTCACTATGAGTCAGAATCGAGTCAACAGCAATTGGTTTGGTTTTTAGTACCCAAGTCATTAAAAATAAATTTGGTTAGAGGTGGCTACATCTTATCTGCATGTCTGGTCACTGGTGCACAGCGTCCCACCCTGTGTGACAGTCAGGCTCTGAGGTCAGAGTATAGTTCCTATTCCCTCTGAAAGCCTTTTAAATGGCCCATGAGATATGTTATACCTGATTTTGTGTATATACATCCCTATACAAGATTAAATATATAAAGGTTCTATATGTATATGTTTTATACATTACACATTTATTTATATACATATATACACACACATAAACACACATGTACACATGCATGTGTGTACACATATATATAAATAAATGCATAATGTGTAAAATATATAAAACATATGCATAATGAACCACCTGGCATCAGCTGGTTCTAAATTCCTCCTCATGAAAGCTGTTCCCTCCTTGAATACAGCTTGGGGTCCCATAGCTTTACAGCCATGCCCTGATGAAGTTACTGGCTTGTGTTTAGGGAACCGGTTATAAAACATAACAGCAGTGTCTGTAAATGATCCTCAGTGTGGCTAGGGATGGGCATGTGGGAATATTGGATTTCCAGTCTCTCATCTCCTGCCTACTCCTGTGTGTGTGCTCACTGTGTGGAAAAAGAGCAACTCCAAGAACGTTTAAATTATTTTCTCCCAGACTTTCTTGTGCTCTCTTTGTGTGGTGCGTGGAAAGTTAACCGGCATTTGAGTGCAATGTGGCTCCTGTATACAGTGAACGATACACCTCCCCACCTGCCCAGGATCTGGAAGTAGGAGTGAAGGGGGAAAAGAAAATCTTGAGAGAAGAAACCCCATTGTTCCATCGACAGGAAAACACAGAGGAGGAAGGCACAGGTTCTCCTTCCACTGGCAAAATTTCAGGTTTGAAAAGGAAATTTGTGAGGAGAGAGGTGGAAAGGGGGATCCGAATACCTTATAGATCAGGTCTGGCATATGTGCTAATTTGGCTAGAGGGCTAGTAACAAAGTTAAGTGAAACCACAGGAGCCAGGGCAAAAAACATTTTAATCCTTTTGGCCAGCTCAGGGATCCGTGAAAATGCTATAAAACCTGTGGAAACAAAAGAGATAACAGAAATTCCATCTTCTGAGACTTTTTCTTGGAAAAAGCGAGGGCAGTCACTTTTGTTACCCCATAGTCTGAAAACCATGCAAGTCACACCAAGGTCAGGAGGCAAAACTCTTGAAATGGGTCCCCCTGAACTTCTATGTATGCGAACACTGAATTTGATTTAACTAGTTAATCAAGTATTTGTGTTAAGTGCCTGTTCCAAACCTCAATCTAGTTGTGCACTGGAAGAAATTCGGGCTGTGAGAACCGTAAGATCTTCCCTGTTCCTTTAGCAATCTGAATTGTGCAATGGTAAGACTGCATTCCCACAGCTCCACCCTCATTCCCCATTGCCCCTTCCCTCCTCCCTGAGACCCACTTACACATGCATTCAATTAAATCATCCATGGCTCAAAAGAAACTTTTAGGATCTCCTAGCTTTAAAATATATTTTAGCTTCCTTTCAGGTCACTTCCTGCCTTAAACTTGGCCTCACACAGGTGGACAAGCAGGGGAAGAAGGAATATAATGTAGAATGCTTAACTTCATTCATGAGAAATGAACACGTATCCAAGTTGCTTTTGGTTTAGCCTCTCAAATTGGCAAAGAGTGTTTGATGGTAGTAAGGGTGAGGCAATTTAGCCATATATACACACACACCATATATATTAAGACACTTAAAAACATTCATGCATTTGATATAGCAATTCTCCTTCTAGTAATTTATTCTAAGGAGACCATACTACATGAGCATAAAGGTATTAGTTACAGTAAACACTAAAAGGGAGAATAAAATAAAATTATGGGACAGGTCCCTAACCCCTTATTAGAAACTCTTGTTTGGTAAAATTATGAGCAATTTTTATTTTCTTTAAACTTTGCTAAATTTTCTAGATTTCTTTACTATGAACACACATTACTTTTATAATCAGCATAAATGCAAATATGGTAAAACTTTTTAAAACTGTTTTTACATAAAGTATAACCTGGCATCCTTGTAGCTAGTTTTGTTCCACTTTAAAAGTTAATGTGTGTTCTTGTTTTCTTTTTTAAAGTCTCTAAAGTTAAAACTTCTTGTTTTCCACCCACTCACATACCCATACTGCTTAACTAGGAAAATATATAATAGGATGTGGTTTATATTAACACCTTCAATTTCAAGGGAATCATCTACCATGTTTATCCATTAATATTAAAGTCTGAATTTCCAGAGAAAAGCAACTGTTACACCAAAATTCCCTGTCCTATTCATTATTTCTGCTTGACATTAAAAAAAAACATTATTTGAACTTTTTTTTTAATTTCACGTTTTAAAAACAAATGCAAACTCAGCAATAAAGACATTATACCAACTTTCAATCTTTATTACATACCTATAGTGGTGCCTTGAGAATGACCCACATAATACAACTGTTCTTGGCCAGTTTTACTCAGAATGAAGTTAATTGAAGCTGGTAGGTCATAATTTGCCATCTCATCAAAACTGTAATCAAAACAAGGAATCTTTCATTGGATTATTTACATACAAATAGAACAGTATGCAAATAATAATTATCACAAATTGAACACTTGTGGGTGAAGCAACCCTGAGCTTAGGAAACAGAACATTACCAAAATTCGAGAAGCCCCCTTCAGCTCCCTTCCTGTCGTGCTCCCAAAGAGAACTATTATCCTTTGGTTTTTCACACCATAAATTAGCTTTCGAACTTTTCTATAAATGGAATTATACAGTATATACATATGTTGTTGTTAGGTGCCATTGAGGCAATTCTGACTCATAGCGACCCTATGGACTACAGAATGAAACATTTGCGCCATCCTCACGATCATTGTTATGTTTGAGCCCATTGTTGCAGCCACTGTGTCAATCCATCTCGTTGAGGGTCTTCCTCTTTTTCACTGACCCTCTACTTTACCAAGCATGATATCCTTCTCGAGGGGTGTGTGTGTATATATACACACACATACAGTATATATTCTTCTGTATCTGGTTTCATTCATGTTGGATAAACCACACTTTATTTATCTATTCCACTGCTGATGGGCATTTGGGTAATTTCCAGTTTTTCACTATTACAAATAGTAAATAGTTTTACAATAAACATATGCTTGTATGTGTCTTTGGCAAAAGCTTTCATTCTTGTGTTTCATGTCTTTAGACAGGCACTGGCTTGACAAATGGGTAGCGAGTCTGAAAGTGTCCATAGTACTCACCTGCTCTAATATTTGGTACTGTACACAGAGCTCGGAACCGGTGTGTATGTATGGGTATGCATGTATACGTGTTTGTTATCAGGGGATGGGTAAGTCAACTGTTACTGGGTATTCACAATGTCTCAGGCACTGTGTCAGGCTCTTTCCATTTATCATCTCCTTTAATACCCCCAATAACTTTATGAGGTGTTTATTATCCCCATTTTACAAATAAGGAAACTTAGGCACAAAGGGTTTATGTAACATGTTCAACGTCACGCAGCTCTTCACTGGTATGGCCAGAAGTAAGAAAGAGCAGAAGAGAATTTCAGAGTTGAAAACTTCTGGAAAGAAGAGAAGTGAAAATTTGCAGTACATGTATATGGAGGAGGGGGGAAGGTTATGGGACAAAACTTACCCAGCAGCTCCCAAACCTGCACAAATGCCAAAATAAGTTAAAAGTTACTCAATTCCCAATTGAATCTAGTTCTTCTTATAATGTAATCACTTACTTATAACTTCCCCTACAGCTATTTATTTAATTCAATTCCTAACGAGGTTTAAAACCTTTCAAGAGACATCAGTTTCACCTCTCATATGACCTCATATCGCCATAGCTGGAATCCCCATGTGTCTGCATTAAAGGTATTCAGGAAATAAAACCATGCTATTATCAATTCAAATATACCTGAAGGCCCAGAATTCATCCTGAGAAACTGAAAGAGTCCTGTGTTTCCGAGACCAGGTATTGCCCCTGCTGTTCCCCATCCAGACATCAAAACCAGCATCAGCAAGGATGAAGCCCAGGCTGCTGTTGGCAAGGTTTGTGATCCAGTTACTGGAATCTGCAAGCAAGCCATGCTGCAGATACACAACTGTTTTGGGGCCTGTAAAACATACATGCTTAGGAGTAAGCAGCACCATGCTCCAAAAAAACATGATGTTATTAAACTGATAATTCATATAAGATTCCACTGCATATAATGAAACAGAAACAAATTAAAATACTGACCAATGTACTCCTATATAACATTAGTAAAGAAATTCTTTAAACACTGCTGGCAGGGTAGCAATGAAATTGGACTATTTTTTCATGTCTAGTAACAAGACACACGGGCTTAAGCATTAAAAAAAAAAAAATTAACATATTTTCAATAGCTTTCAAAATGTTTCTGCAGTTTGCTCCAGTAATTTCATTTCTTACAAAGTACCCTAACAAAATAAACCAAAAGAAAGAAAAGATCACACACACACAAATTCAGAAAGATACACAAAAACAGGAATTTGTTTTCTCTTCACTGTACCTGGGATACTGTGATGTAGTGGAAATAATATACACTTAGGAGCCAAAGAAGGAGCCCTGGTGGTACAGTTGTTAAGCGCTCAGCTGCTAACAGAAAGGTCAGTGGTTCAAACCCACCAGTGCTCCACAGGAGAAAGATGTGGCAGTCTGCTTCCGTAAAGATTACAGCCTTGGAAACCCTATGGGACAGTTCTACCCTGCAGGAGCCCCGGTGGTGCAGTGGTTAAGCGTTTGGCTGCTAACAGGTTGGTGGTTCGAACCCACCAGCTGTTCCGTGGGTGAAAGATGTGGCAGTTTGCTCCCATAAACATTTACAGCCTTGGAAACCCTAGAGGGAAGTCCCCCTCTGTCATTATGGGTCATTATGAGTCAGAATCAATTCGAGGGCAATGTTTTTTGTTTGCTGTTGTTACGAGCCAAAGAAACCTGACCTCAGGCTGCTTACACAGTGTTGAGACTTTCAGTCATTCATTAAACAAGCATTTATTGAGCACCAACTATGTGCCAGTATTCTTCTCAGCACTGAGGATACAGCAGAGAATAAAAACAGGAAGGAAAAAAACCCGCCCTCATGGTGCTGATGTTATACAACCATGAGTCTTAGAGTCAGACAAATCTGGGTGTGTAGATCACAGTGTGAGAGCAAAGCACTCCAGTGTATGTGGAAGGGGAAGGGGTGGGGCTGGGGTGAACAAAACTCAACCATTTGTTAAGCAAAAACCAAACTCTGAGTCGATTCCAATTTACAGCAACCTTACAGGACAGAGTAGAACTGCCCCATAGGGTTTCCAAGGAGCAGCTGGTGGATTTGAACTGCCAACCTTTTGGTTAGCAGCTGAGCTCTTAAGCACTGCACCACCAGGGCTCCAACCATTAGTCAGGACATCTTTAATAGGGGAGGGGAGACTAAAGGCACTTTTTCTCTAATCCTTCTTGTTTGTTTGGGTTCCCCAACCCCTGACTTCAAGCTGAATACAAAAGCTCAATGACTAACAGATATAAAAGATGGCACCGCTGGGATGGGCAGATGGGAAAAACAAAGTGAATCTATATTCTTTAAAAAGCTAAAATTTTCCAAATCTGGAGGATTTGGAGCTAAGAACTGCAAACAGTATTGCAGACACCACTGTTTTCTCATGGCAAATGCCAGTAGGTGAGGAAAGAGGCTGACCGAGGAAGGTAAATGCTATAGTCTGACAAATGGCATGGCCTTAATTAATCATCCTGAGGCCAGTCAGCTGTGTCCTATTACAACATCCATTCTTTGAAGACCTTTTATGGAAAACCTACTATATTTTAAGCAGTATTGTTGTTGTTCTGTGCCATAAAGTCAATTATAACTTGAAGCGACCTACAAGACAGAGCAGAACTGCCCAATAGGGTTTCGTAGGCTGCAATCTTTACGGAAGCAGACTGTCACACCTTTCTCCCACAGAGCCGCTGGTGGGTTTGAACTGCTGACCTTTAGGTTATAGCCAAGCGCTAATCATTGCACCATCAGGATTCCTTCTAAGCGGTGTACTAGAAAAAAATCAGTCAAGTGATTCAAAACATGTTACATTTCACGTAAACTTTTTTGGTGCCTACTTTGTATTAACCACTCTGCTAGAGGCTGGGGACACAAAGATGGATAACCCATGCTCCATGCCCCGAAGAACTCCATTCTAGTGGAGGTGACAGACATGTATTTATCTTCTAGCCCAGCATAGAAAATGCCAGAACACCACCTAGGAAAGCTCGGAGGAAAGAGAAAGTCATTCATTCAGCCAAAGGGAGAAATATATCTGGATGTTTATTAGGTGAAAGACAGGATTTTCCCACAAAGAATTCTGGGGAAGAAACAGGAGGCCAGAGGCCTGAGATTACACCCCAGGCCTCGCAGGGTGGGGCCCCAGGGCACACAATAAAAAGGTCCCTGCGTGAATTTGATGCTCAGTCAGGGTGGGGAACTGCTGGTAAAGTTCAGTGCCTGATCTGACCTGGGGGTAGAGGGATATGAAGGACTTCGTGGAAGGTTCATCCATCCAGGCTGGGCTAATTTCAAGAACAAAAGGGCCCCTCAGATGAAGGAGATGAAGTAGATATCACCCACTGGGCTTCTGGGGCCAGTGATTCCATGAAGTATGATGAGTCACCAATAAACAAAATATTAACAAATCTTGGAGTGGAAAACCTTTAAAAAGTGGGTGCTAAAGTGCTTGCCCCTTTCCTCTGCATAGAGCACATCCAAGAGAGTGCCAGAATAGATAAGGGCACTGGAAAGAGACCTACCCATCTGTCTGTGGCTACCACGAAGGGAAGAAAGAACGGTACAATGTAGTTCTTTCACATCCCACCACCAATCAAGGATTTAAGGATCTGCTGGAAAAAAAGGTTGCTCTCTGGGAGGGTTAAACCTACTTCCATTCACATCTTCCAGTGAATGATTTTCATCAGATTTCTTTTCACCATGCTGCTGAGAGAAGCTAACTGAAATGATTGCTAGCTATTATTGAGCACTTATATGCTCTATGTGCTGAAAGTGCTCTACAGTGCCAGAAATCCTATGAAGTTGGTCCTATTCCCATTTAACAGAATGGAGAATAATGACTAAGCCAGGTAACTTTCCCAAGGTTGAACTAGAAATAGTAAGTGAGGGAATTGGGATTTGAACCCAGGTATGTCTGATGCCAAGATCCATGTCCTTAACCACTTTACTATGGGGAAAGGTGAACAAGAGAGAAGTCATTCTGGAACATATAGAAGTCCTCAGAATGATAAGCCAAATGGGTAAGCTATTTTGGAGGGATGTGGATGAGGAACTTGAAATAAAGTAATCTCTAGTAGATAGAAGAGATAAGGTTGGGAGGCAAGAACACCAAACTCAACCTTGCCCACTGAGGCAGTTCTCAGGACCAGACCATTCGGTAACTCCAGCATACTGGGGCCTGATACATCTCAGCAACAAACCAACACGACAGACAAGGGCTATCACCCAGCCCATGCCCTAGAGCTGGCTTGTTTGTCCCTAGCTGGGTCTAGGAGGGCTGGGGACTGAGGACAAGGCCTAAAAGGGCCATTTCTTGGCCCAGAGAGGGAAAGTGGCCTCATCAAGATCATCTAGTAGTTAGCACAGAGCCAGTAAAGATATCATTCATGTCCTGTCACAATGCTACCCCACTTGCTAAGGCCCAAATATGGGTGGAAGTGAGGTGGGCATTATTCAGGCTCTGAAACTGAAATTGCTGAGCTCACAGTCCCACAGAAGGAAGATGACTGGGTGGGTAGGGAAGTTCCTCCTGCCTCCCAGGATCCTGGCCTTCTCAGCCAGCTCATTGTGTCTGGATGGGCTTCCACTATGATCTAAAAGGGCTGTGAGAAACCAGCTGAGGTGCAGGGGAAAACCACAAAGAAGAGTAAGCAGTGAGTCAAGAGTCAGGATAAAAAGAATGGGTGTTAGCATCAGACAGGCCTTGGCTCTTACTAGCGCACTAGCTGTAAAACATTGTAGGAGTTACTCGGCCTCTCTAAAGTATAGCTATCATTTTCTAAGATGGAGATGATAACAGCACAGCGCCTGATACCCAGTAAAAGCTCAAGAAATAATGTTGTTGTTAGCTGCCATCGAGTCGACCCTTACTCATGGCGACTCCGTGCACAAGGGAACAAAACACTATCTGGTTCAACACCATCCCCATGATCAGTTGCAGATCAGACCATGGTGATCCACAGGGTTTTCAATGGCTATTTTTTGGAAGTAGATCACCAGGCCTTTCTTCCTAGTCTGTCTCAGTTTAGAAGCTCCACTGAAACCTGTCCAGCATCATAGCAACATGCAAGCTTCCACTGACAGATGGGCGGTGACTGTACATAAGGTGCACTGGCTGATAATCAAACCCAAGTCTCCCACATGGAAGGAGAGAATTCTACTGGTGAACCACCAATGCCCTCCAAGAAACAACACCCGTTGCCATCAAGTCAATTCCGACTCATAGCAACCCTATAAGATAGAGCAAAACTTCCCCATAGGGTTTCCAATGATCAGCTTGTGGATTTGAACTGCTGACCTTTTGGTTAGCAGCTGACTTTTGGTTAGGAGCTGAGCTTTTAACATTGTGCCACCAGGGCTCCCCAAGAAATAACAGCCACTGCCTTTCTGTTCTCCTTCCCCTTCTCAGCCACCACAAGCCTCTCCCTAGCTTGCATTATGGTATCTTGAGTTCACAGAATTATACAGTTGGCAGAATATTGGAAATTATCTAGCTCTGGTCCAAAACGCTCACTTTATATGAGGGAACAGAGCGGTTCACAGTAGGGAGGCACCTGGAGGTGGGCGCCCAGACACAGATAACATCCTCATCGCCTGTCCCCTAGACATGGCTCTTTCTACTGCATTCTGACTTCAGCACTTCTGCCCTCCGTAAATAAATCCTGACATAAGCATCTTCCTCCTTTCCTTAGAGTTTAGAACACATTCCCATCATGGGGGACAGGCTGCTGAGGAAGCAGACATCAGAGATCAGGGGCAAATCCATTCTGATATTTAAGAACTAAGAACAGCAACAACAGCTTCCATTTATACCGGGCTTCATAGGACTTATTTCA